CCTGCTCCTTACTCTGATTTCTAACTCACCTAGCTAGCATTGATACAGATCTCATCTAAACATTGATTAATACTCCTCTCTTTCCAGGCTGGTGAAGAGGAAGCATAACTTTCTATTTTCAGAGAGATTTTTTACATCGTGTATTCAAACTTAGACAAAATATTTTTTAAGAATCACTGTTCTCACAAACTTTCCTGCTAATTAAATGCCCTCTGATGAAGATTTGGGAGAATAAATGAAAGGCAGGAGCATAGCTGAAACACAAATCCTCTGTTTGATTATCTCAGAGGTTGTGATCCTCAGCTATAAACAATGTGGAAGAAGAGCATCTTATCAACTTCCTGGCATGAACTAGGATTAGGCAGAATTCCAGGCCTAACATGCACTTACCCATAGGAAAACCACCAATTTCAAGATGAATATAGCATCTCAGGAAGGTCAAATGAAAGACTTGGAAAAGGTTACCCAATCAACTAAATCTTACAGAAATGTCTCCCGTAGTTTGCTACTTCCCAATACTCGTGGACTGTATCTCTTGCAAAGCATTTAATCCATTGGCAGTGTCTTTAGAAACTGCCATATTTATCTTTTTTATGGTGAAGGAAGTTATTAAGAAAAAAAATACCCTTAAGCTAAATATCTTATTACATTTACTTTACTTTTGAATGGAAAGTATTATCACTGACATGAACAGGTAAAAAAAAAGTTTTTCTTAGCCTTAAAGACAATCCCATTACCTTGAAATAACATCTTTCAAACTTTAAGATGGAGTAAAATTATTTCTGATATCATTCTTGATTGTATAAGACTTTATATGAAGATATAAAACACATTTTTCTGTGGTACATTAACATCCACAAGAATTTTGAAAAAATTGGAGATATGTGCTCGGGACGTGTTTACTTATTACCCACTTGTGAATCAGTAGCATTTACTCTGAGTTCTGCAGAGTTAGTGCCAAAATTTGTAAAAATAGAATTAAAATCAGGTAAACTATGGTTAGAACATAGTATTCTGGATAGAAGTTTTGCATACAAACTGGTAGACAGTTACCTCCATATGCATTAAATACTACTTATTTTTAATTTACAGATGTTCATTGTATTAAATAAAAGTCAAACAAAAGTTAAAGGACTTCCTTACTACTAATGCCTTAAAAATACCTTTTTCTTGTAAAACAAGTAATGGTAGGACTCTGTCTACGACAGTATCAACCTGAAACTGGTTTTGTCAGGTGTAAGGACTACAAATTCTGCTCATGGGGTTACATTCGAAATCTGACCTTATAATATTCTTCTCACTCCATTAAAAACGTGCTGCTCAGGAAAAGCTTTTCACAGTTAGAGAACATAATCTCAGATCCAAAGCCAGCTAAAGGTGGTGGGAGGTTTTCCATTGGCTTAAGAGGACTTTGGATCAGCTCTCAGGAAAGATTTAGAACCACTGAAGGTCTTTTGCTGTGAATGGAAGTGTTGAGGATTAAACTTTAGCTGGCTTAAAAAAAAAGAAAGAAAAAAATCTTAATAATTCCATTCTTTCAGATCCTTCACACTGAAGTCACAACAGGTGTATTGGGTGTTATTCAAAGCCAAGGCCCTTGCTCCTCCTCCATTATGCCTATACTTATGGAACATACTTACGCTTTTCTGGTAAGATGGTTCTTGATTAGTGCATCAGAGGAAAACAAATCACCATCTACAATGGTTCCTGGAGAAGCCTTGAGGAGAAACCCATAGTCTACATTTTTTTTTTTTAATTATTGAGTTCTTTTCATATCAATTTTTATGATTTTGCCATTTTTCCCCATAATTTCTGTATATCTCTTATTCAAGGGGAACAAAAACAGTGATTTATCTCTACAGTGTCCTGTGTCTTTTAAATTAAAACTTATTTGTGAATTACACAGAAATTAAAATAGCAGATACTGAATTCACTCCCTTTTAAAGAATAACCCTCATATTTAAACAAGAAATATACAAATGTTTGTAAGAAATAACCAAGATGTTTTTTTCATTTTTATATCTGATATCGTGTCTAACTCATGGCTGAATCATAGATTCAGATCATACAGTCAAAAAGAAAATTATGTTTTGTTTACCTATTAAATTCTGAATTCAACATTCAGTAGCCTATATTTATCACAGGGTCATTTTAGTTCTTTCTGCTGTCACCAGTTTATATAAGCAAACAAAAAATCCATAAGCTCATAGTTTTACAGGCAAAATGAGTAAGTTGTGATTTTCTCCTAAGTTTGCTCTAACATGCATTTTGCATGACTTATGCGTTCAAGAAAAGTGCCAGACTGACCGGCTTGGGAAAATTAGTTGTCTACCTGTAAAAAAAATAAAAAGAAAAGAAAAGAAAGACTATGGCTTGGTTTTCTTATAAATTGTGTCTGCATGATTTGATTCCTTTCCTACTTAACACAGAGGAAAAGTGCTCCAGTGTCTAATCTCTTTTGAATAAATTATATTTATAGCTCTTTTAAGCTGATCATATGCTTTCATAATGATGTCCCTGTTAATTTGCAGTCTGAAAATTTGAAAACTAGATTCCATTCATCTCCACGTAGTGTTAACTCTGAAGCCTGAAGATGGCATTTTAAATATCACTCTGATTGACTGCTTTACAGTTGACCATTTTAAAGGAAACCATGTAAATAGTATAATTCTGGAAATTGCATCTGAAATGTAATTTATTTAGATTTCATTTTTTTCAAGCATCTGTCTTTTTTCCCTTTTTACCACAGTCCAAAAATAATAGATAACAATAGTAATGTGCTTATACTGCAAACTTTTCCTCTGCCTCCTTTTTATTACAGAAAACAGATACTACTGGAGGTGAGTGCAGTGTACGGACAGTCAAGCATACAAAAATAATTTATGATGGCCAGTGTTAAAATACTCCTCAATATCTAAGGTTGTTTCACAGTGTACACCAAATGAGCCCATGCTGAAAGAGCACAATGTCGTTATCTGTAGAAGGAGAGAAACCAGCAGACTTTGAAGCAGCAGAAATTCTGTGTGAGTTAGGGTAGAAGAGTAGTTTTTACATGCAGATGAGAAATGTAAATTCTGGGAATACTGGGAATACAAAAAATATTGTAAAAGAAGATTATGATGAGGTGTTTATGAGGGATATGGGGTATTTTAGAGATATAAAACATTGATACTACAGTGCTGCAAAAAATGTGTGCCACATAAAGTCCCAATAGCACTGAGATAAAAATAAAGGGGTGAACTTAACTGCATGGCAAAATCAGATGTTACAGTGCAGATACAGACACCAAGTAATCGAGTTAGCAATTGGCCATTTTAAGAAACCAGACAATGCAAGGAATTTTATAACTTCAAAAGATTTAAATAAGGCAATCAAACATGAATGCTAACCCAAGAGAGCAGCTGAGGGCATCTGCCCAGATCATCACTGTTGTATCTTAGCGTAACTCCACTGAAGGCAATGGAGCTATGCTAAATTTACACCAACTGAGGATCCAGACAATCATATTTAGGACTTCAAGTGATAAAATTACTTTAATTTTGGGGCATATATTAAAGGGTTTTGGCAAGTCTGACCAAACACAGAAAGTGCAAAAACACTGCACTTTTAATTCCCCTTTTAGCAACTATATGGTTTATGCAACTTCCCATGGGGATTGCCTCAGCACTTGGGATATACCACAGCATCATGTTGCAGATCTTTGCGGATCTGGATGGAATGAGCAATTGGTTATGATCTGTTGATTTGAAGCAAAAATGATCAACATCACAATGGAAGTTTGCACAATAACCAAATTGTGCCAAAGGAAAGACCCTTGAATTGAATACGAGCAAATGACAGGCTGAATGAGATCAATTATGTAGGACACATTCAATGACAAAGAAGTATGACCAAACCCAAGGAGTGTGAAGGCAATGGTACAAATGGAAAGACTCCAAGACAAGAAGGCCTTAGAGAGATTCATTGGGCATATTAATATAACTAAGCAAATTAACTGATAATTAATCACAATTAAGTGCTCCTCTCAGAATAGCTGTTTAGGGACTGCACAGAATGGCACTGGAATGACTGACAAGAGAAAAGTTTTGAAAATTAAAATGAGCTGTTAAATAAACATTCACACTGACATATTTGGGGATTAGTGAAGAGCTTAGGAACTAAGAGTTGTATCTTCAAAAGTGCCTAAATTGTTATTGCAGACACTGAATTCCACTTTCAAAGTTAGGCATATAGAAGTTGCAGGGATGTGGATGCCCAGCACTTACATTCCTTCTGAAAACAAAGTTTAGACTCTTTAAGTCATACAGGTTGTTTTGAAAGAATTTCTCTAATTCAGTGAATGTTCATCTGAATTGAGACTATTTCAGACGATAACTAAGTAGAAAATGGTTTTAAATACTGATTAAAATCCAAACAGCAAAAAAAAGTACAGCTATCAATATATCTTATTTTAGATAATTAAGTACATAAATAAAGAGGCCATAAACTATGTGGGTACTGTAGATGCCACTGTGCAAATGAAGCCTCTAATTTCAGAGCATTTAATGGTATTGAAAACTTACTAAGGCCCTGATTCTGCAAGGTGCTTCATGCAAACAATTTTGTGCCTGCATGGAACATTTCACAGCATCAGAGGTACTGATATGCAGATGGATTTTAAGGAGCTTTTTAAAGAGTACATGCTTTTAAGACTACCTCTCTGTAACGAAAACAATGATGAAGGTTCTTATGTAAACAGAACTCAAGTATTTTCCATTTTGGAGACAAAGGTTGACAAACTTAAGTGAGAAAAATGGAATGACTCAACCTTACCAGAGTCTGAATGAGTTATTCTAACAAAAAAAAAAAACAAAAAACAAAAACAAAAAACCCAGCCACTTCCATATGTGAAACTTATTGTGACTACAGAGATGAGGTTGCTGCAGATGATGGGTTTCTATACAAAGGACATTATCATAACACCACACAACATGAGGTTGGAAATGCTAGGTATAACCTACAGTGCCCATTTGAGTATTGAGAAGTGCAGGAACAGAGCCCAAGGTGTTCTGTTCTGGCCAGGCATGCATGCTGCCATCAAAGATAAGGTATCCAAGTGGAAATCTGCAATAAATACAGGAAACAAAAATGCAAAAAAAACCCACTGAAACCACATGAGATTCCTAATTTCACTTGGCCCAAGGATCTAGCTGAACAAAATGGGAAAGATTATTCCTTATGGATGAGCTAATATTGGGGATCTATGTTCCTTGGTTTTGTTTTTTAATAATTTAAATTAGACTTGCACACTAACTTGCAATTTAATAACACATTAAAAATGCATTTTGTTTTACCATAACATTGCAGATAAGTTAATAAAACACCATCACTTACAAATTACTCATTCTAGTAATTTTTAACATTACTCCAAATACATCACGTCTGGTCCTTGTAATCATATTATCTATATAAAAGTTAGCTAAAACATCGATGAACTTTTAAAAGTATCTGCAGATTCAAAGGATACAAACTTAACCTCAAGTATTTCATTGTAACATAAGATTGCTTACTAGGTTCAACAACCTCAGTATTCAAGAAAAACTGTAATGACAATTTCCATTAAATTTCCCATGTAGGAAAAAGGAAAAAAAAAAAAAAAGAAAAAAGAAAAAAGAGGACATAAACAACAGGGCTAAAAAAGTGATAATAAGAATGGAAATAGTTATTCCTCTTGCAACAAAGAGTAATTTTCTAAGAGAAAGGTGAGTGAAAACTATATGATGAGTCACAATCTTACTGAGTTTTCATAGGAGGACAGATGTAAACTCAGCGGGAAGGCAAGGCAAGGCAAGGCAAGGCAAGGCAAGGGATAATACTCCTGTGCAGATGAGGCAACAAATGTACACCCAAGCACTGAACACCAGAAACACCTCAAGCGGCAAACACAGAATGTACGTGGAAAAATCACTTCAGCAGCTAAACAGATCTCTGCATAAAAAACTGTTTTGTGTACAAAAAGTGACTGTGTGTGCATTGGGAGAGCTATAAAGGTTTAAAGAGCATTTGTCCTGATCAATGTCCAGGTTACCTGTCTAAAGAGGGGAATGTTTCTGTGGTGTCTTATTAATACATCCTATTTATTTTTGTTTCTGCATTTTCATTTTGTATTTGGAGAAGGCCTATTTTTTGCAAGATCACTAAAGCGAGGAAGAAAATATTTCTTTTTTTGCAGTAAAATTTTATTTATATATTAATCAGAATAAATACAGCACAAGCTTCTCCATTTCTGGGAGGATATCCCTTCTTCCCAGTTGATAGTTCTTGCTGAGCAAATTGCAGTAAAATTACACTAATAAAAAGTGAATATTAGAGATGATACTAACGTGGAAGAATTTCCCTAGAAGTATGAGCTCACGATATCCCTTCTATCCAGGAAAAAAACTGTACTGCATGGAGTTGTTCTTCCTAGAAGAGTTGTGGTTAATAGGGAAAGCTTAAGAGAAGTTCATGTTTCCATCTGAATCAAATGGAAGACACTACTAGGATGACACATGTGGGAATAGGGAGACAAGGATAAAAGGAAGAGAAGAGAAAGAGTAGAAAATGACTACCAAGAATATAGAAATTAGGGCAGAGTGACGGAAGAAGAAAGAGGCACAGACATTCCAACTCTTACTTAATTGTGGAGAATGCGCAAAAACAGACCGAGTGCCTCACTTCGAGTTGAGAAGAGATGTGGAAAAGAAAAGCTCTCAGGCTTCATTGTAAAGAGGGAAATGAGACTGGACTCCTCCCTGTAAGTGCCCCAGGGGAATACCAAAAGACGTCCACCACAGAAAACAATGACATGCAAAATCTACATAGAGACATAGGTGCTTTGGGACTGAGGGACTGGGTATGTTACATCAGTATCAGAGAAGTATCCAAACTTGTAGGCACCAGGTTTAACTGAAAATCTTTATGAGGTTCAGATTCTTTAATACAAGCATTAATGAGATTTTCTGTCAGAAAACTGACCCAAACGAACAAGGGTAAATGTTGAAAACTTGATCGCCAGTTCCATGGTAGACCAAGTTAATGCTTAGTTACCCATGGCCCCTAAAAAAAGTATGATTATTTTTATATCAAAGTACCACTAAGTAGAACTAAGTTTGCAATTTGCTGGGAGTCTCTGGTGCTCAGTCTCTGGTTCCCAGGTTGGCAGTACACTGAGCAGAAATGTTCTCAGTTAGTTAGCTGCATTTTAGCTGGGATTGATTTACTGATGATCAAAATGTATCCTTTTGTCCTGGTTTCAGCTAGGACAGAGTTAACTTTCTTCATAGTAGCTAGTATGCGGCTATGGTTCGGATTTGTACCGAGAAGAATGCTGATAACACACTGATGTTTATAGTTGCTGGCAGGACAGTCAAGGACTTTTCAGCTTCTCTGCTGTGCCCGTGTCTGCAGGTGCAGGAGAAGCCAGGAGGGAGCACAGCCCCAGTTACTGGCCTAGGATTTGACCTTGGGTTTAGGACTGATACCCAAATTGGCCAATGGTATATTCCATATCATGCACTTGATTCCCAGTATGTAGAGGAGAATCTGTACAGGAGTACTCTCTCTCTCTGGGTGCCAGCCCCCCCTCTGGATTGCCTCTCTCTCTTGGCCAGCTCTTGGTCTGTCAGATGCTCCGGCTCTTATCTCTTTTCCAGGATTGTGGTTTTGGGACTCTCCCTGCACTGGGATCATTAGCCAGGAATGGGCTGAGCCTTGGTCACTGGGTGCTAAGCAGTTTCACTGTGTAACACTCATTTATATATTCATAATTATTACTATTACTAGCTTTATTATTTTCAGTTTTATTGTAGTTTAGTTATTAAATTGTTGTTGTCTCAACCTACACATCTCTTCCCTTTACCCCTTTAATTCTCTCCCCCATCCCCGTGAGGGGGGAAGGTGAGTGAGCAGCAGTGTGGTGTTTGCTTGCTGCTAGCTGGGTCAAACCACAACACTTTTTAAAAAAAATTATTACTTTTAGGTTTTTTTTTTGTTATTTTATTTTGAGTAAGATTAAAAGTGTTTTGAAATGTTGGGTTTTAATAGTATTTATAACTCTATAGTTTTGAAGTAACTGTAACTGTTAGAAAAACCTCCTACAGTAAGGAGCAAAGAAGGAAAACTGGTAAGGAAATGCCCCTGGGTAAGACTAAACTGGATTTAACTTACGATTTTTTTAATATTGGTAGCTGTCACTGGTTGGGCTGTTAATTTTTTTCCCAGCATAGTTAAGTTTACTCATCAATATAGTGTCCCTAGGTCCTTTAAAAATTAGTTGCTTTTCACAACTACTACAACCCAAATTTTAACGGTGGAAAAGCTTGGGTTCTTGCCAGACATTAATTTCTTCCGAGACTTTTAAAACTGTTGACCTCTTTTTTGCCAGCAGCAGTAACTGAGAATTAAAGCTGAAGAAAATCTTCTGTTATTTGGAGATCATTACCAGGCTGTGTAACTGCTTTGGTCTTCCAATAAACCATGCACAAAGACTCTTGGGTCCCCACTTGGGCTTTGGGTGAAAGCGTGGTAAACCTGAGCAAGAAGCCTTACAGAAGAAAAGCATGGATAGTAAGAAATAATTAGGCTGACCATGGAACAATTTAGTTGAATGCTGGACCATTATCATTCTAGGAGCCAGGAAATGTGCGTGATGGAATTTACGGAGCCACAACTACCAAGAGGCAATACAGTAAGCATAACTGTTAAGTAAAATAAACTTTTCTCTAACCTTTTCAGGTTCTCATATTATTTTTGTTATGAATATTATGTGAAGTGTCCGCTATTTTTTATTTTAGTTGGGGTTTAAAAAGAATCAGTGTGTTAGCAAAATTCCAGTTAGGAAGCCCCATTATACATAACTTGTGTGTGTTATACAATGCACAGAAGCAGATTGTGGATTGATAAAACATGATATAAAGGCTTTAGCATTGCATATATGATATTTGCTACATAAGCGATGCATGGCAAAGCCATAGAAGTATGAAATCTTTCCAAACTATGCAGTCCAGGAATACGAACCCTGTGCAGTCCTATCAATTCTTCTACTGCACTATCAGTTGTTCTCTATACTCCATGCATTCAAAAAGTATTTTCCAGAAAGTTTACAGAGGTTGAAATCTTTATGGATGACTGGAAACAACTACACTGAAAACCAGAACAAGGAATAAAAGATGAAGAAGAAATGAGAACAGTACAGATTGACAGGGACAGGACAGAAGGGATCTCAGCTTGGGATATAAGCAAAAAATGTATATACATTTCTCTCTACAGCCCGGGGCAGGAGCTAAGGTTACTGATTCTCACTACTCTTTTGCTGTCAGCAAATACTTATGAAACACACCAGCAACGTTCCCCACCTCCTCCAGTGCCAGTCCACGCAAGGCGCTATAGCTTCTACCGCTGTTTGCTACCACATTAGTTCAGGTGACCTATATAGCAGATATCAAACGTTCCCATGGTGCTGGTGGCCTGACAAAAAGCCAGTAGGATCCCACAGTATGGAATTTTTGCTTCTTTTCAGCTTGCTCTTTTTAAAAGCAAGGAAATTATACTTCAAACCTCACACACAGAACTGTAACAGATATAAATGAAGTACTTCACAGTTGGAAAATTCCAAAATCAAAATCACTTATGTAGCTTTGGTTTAGCTATTTTGTGCATACCCATTACAATTTACATGATCGCATCTTCTTCCATCTTGGGCAGAGAACAAGCACATAACTGAGAGCTCTATAGAGGATGCTGCCATCCATAGGACTCCCACTTCCCTGCTTTCGAATATATGTGAGAAATGCAAAGATGCTTTATTTCTCTCTCTCTACCAACTTCAACAAGATGGTTAAGAGGCAAAGAAAAATGAAAATTTAAACGTGATGGAGGCAGGAGATGGGCTGATTAGACAAGGAGCTTGAGACAGGGAGGAGTGTAGAAAAAATGATGAAGGAAAACAAGACAGAGTGCGTGGACAAAACGGAAGCTGAGACTGAGCAGAGTTTTGGGGGAGGAGAAAGGATAGTCCCAGTGCTGTCTGGGAACACTAGACTCTATCTTACTTTTTCTGTAGAGTTCATCCCTTTCACAAAGGGTCAATCACTCGTCATGTAGAACTGCTGAATTCCCACAGCTCCAAGCAAATTAAATGGATAGTTGGCTTTGAACATATACAGTGCTTTACAATGTGAAGAACTCTGACAAACTGAGTCCCAGAAATCTCAACCTGAACAATCAAAATTAAATATTTAAGTTTCCTGGCTTTAAAATTGGGATATCAACCCTGACTGACTTCAGTGTAGATAAAAATAAGTTAATACATTTATAACGAAGATAAATTAACTAGGAAACCCTCCAATGCAATGGCAGTGACAAATATGTGAGTGAATGGGTAGTTACATCCTGAAAGTACAGTCTGAGAAAAGTGCAGAGAATAGCACACAGGGCCACACATGGCACAAGAAATTCATTAGTTGTTTATGCAGTGATTACTGTCTGCCCTGTGCCATGAATTACTTTTTTATCCTATGGAAAAATATATGATCAGAAAATGAAGGATTGCCCTGTAATGAAAATGCAAGAGAGCTGAGTTAAGTTAGCCTGCTTAAAATTCTTGCATTTCCTAACTTTTGAACTAACTTAACAGAGTTTTTATATGTCCAATAGGTATTATAACTGCTAAATATAATTTATGATAAATCCTAAGTAAATAATAGATGCCAAACCTAAAAATATAACTTTAAATATGACCTAATCTTGTTGTCTTTGCTTAGGAAAAACTTGAAATAGGTAAAGAGAAAGGCATGAGACAGGAGTGGAGTCTCAAATTTAAGTGATTCTTTTTTTCTTCCTATATTAGGTAGGCTTGGCTGCAGATTGAGAAAGGCAGAGGAGATGGGGCAATTCAGAAATACTTTCCTAACACAAGTGTGAACTTTACAAAGGGTTAGAGCAGCAAAGTAAGCACTTAAAGTATTATTCACACTGCTGCAAGAGTCTTGTCTGTGTTCTGTTTATGAAATTACATTTCCTCAAACATCTACTGCTTGACCCATCTCAACCCAAAATTCAAACCTGAGTTTCTCTGGGGTTATGTGCCCATGTCTTACTCTGCTTATACTTGCATGTTTTCCCTGATCTCATTTACATCCCCTCCCCTTGCATATCACATAGCCTTCCAGCAGCAGATACCAGCATAATCTGAACCGATAGTTTCAAAACATTATTTTTGACGGGGTGGGAAATAAATCACAAATTTTGTACCTATTGTTTACATCTAGTGGCTAAAGTAGCTAAGACTAGAAAGCAATCTTACTTCAGCAGTTTTCTCATGCTTGCTTTCTTATCTTTCCCATGCTTTACATCGCAGTTTGTTTTTTTCATCAGGGTACGTACTGAACTCAAGAAATGCTATTTAAGGCACTCATGTATAGTAAAGACAGAATACTGCTTAGCAAGGCAGCATAAGCTATCCATTCATACTTTTCCTACCCAATTTTTCCTTGTTACTTGTGAAGGTTTTCCAAGTTGATCATAGTACCAGCTCAGGAGTACCACCATCTCACAAACACTAACAAATGCTATAGTTCTTCCACATACAGAGCTGCAGTCGAGCATATGGTGCAGGAAGACAGATCAAAGCTAAGTCTCATGATTCTCTAACTTTCATTGCTCACAACTGTTACTCCAAAGAACTGAAAGGAATTGTAAAGAATGCATTTCAAGCACGGGAATAACTAAGAAAACACTAAGAAACATAGTCAAATGAGAAAATGCATTAAGCTGATAACAGTGATACAACCTGGGGAAAATTAGGCAAGCATTAGGGACAAACAAATTGGTTGCCCTTCCCTCCAATGTGTATCTGAGAAACTACAGCACTTTACTGGATGTGTAATCAGAAGTATTTAATCAGTCTAATCGCATGAGAATTTTCTGTTCTAACTAAAAAACTCAAACGTTCAGAAAAAAAAATTAATAGGAATTAAATCATTTAGATGAAATTCCAGAAGTTCTGACTTTTGTCCATTCCTGTCACTTAAGGAATACACAAAAGGAAATACTACATCAACAGACTTATGTATAGAGCCAGACGGTATGGAATATCTAGAGGCTTTGACACATGTTCTAAGCAGGATCAGCCCCTTCTGCAGCAGCTCTCCAGACAGCCTTTCTAATTTCTGATACAATTATACACAATTTGTGGTAGAGAGGTGTTTATAAATCAAATATTTGTTCTTTATATCTTACTTGAGTTCTTGTGAGCTTGTGGCCAGCATACTTCGAATGCTTTTGTCAGCCAAGGGACAGCCAGATAAACTGTAAGACATGGCAGGACATACAAGTAAGTTAATCTTGTTAACGGAGCGCTCCCAAACAAACACAACATAAAAATTAAAAAGTAAAAGTTTTTAATGCAGAAAAGCGATGGGGCAAGTGCTGTAATACTGAATTTTGTAATATAGTTAACCCTCTGAATATATTTAGTTATCAACATTACTTCCAAAATTACATACCGTAAATGTTCTTTTTTTTGTTTGTTTGTTTCTCTATGAACTAGTAAAATGTAACAAAAAATATTTGAGATTCCTGGGTTAACTACTTAAATGCTTAAGTATACTTTGGAAATTTTAGTAATCTATTTAAAAATAAAAGACGTTTATACAACACACAAATTAGCATGCTTTTAAGATCAACATATATTACTCAAAGGGTTAACACATAGTTCAACGTTTTACTTTGACAGCATTGTTGAGGTAAGCTGAAAACAATAAATTGAAAAGACAGAATCCACCATGAAAAAAATGAAGTCACACCTTCTATGTGAGGCGTAATTACCAGTCACATGACCACTCCCATCACACCCTGGTGTTGGACATCTGCCACCAAACAAAAACAAAAACAGCCAAAATAGTAAGTATGTTTAAAAAAAAACTTTTAAAAGTTTCATTGTTTCCAGTTTAGCTGCAATGACTGCAAGGGGTTTTAAGCATCCTAATAGAAAAGCTGCAAAATGAACAGGTTTAAATGAAAATGGCGTCTCAATACAATATAGCATCATTAAGAACAAGCGAATACACGTTAGCTTATCACTTTACTTAACCGGCAGTTCGAAACATTTATATGCTGCAAATGTTGCATGCTCATACTGCAAGGCGTATATGTACTCGTTTGTTTAAAAAAAGACAAAGAGAGAAAAGGTTAAAAGGAGAAAAATAATTTCACCTCACATTATGCTTACGTTATTAAATCCTTTTTGCTCTCTTTGCACTGAGGGTATTTGGGTTTAGGACTTGGGATTGTAACTTCACCAGGATACCTTCTTTCTTCAAGTGCCTCTTGGAAAGGATCCAAGTCTTCTGGCTACAGGCAAATACATAAGTATTAGATTCAGCTAGGTGAGGTTACAACTTACACAAAGTGATGCAAAGCAGAGTCGTCAGACACTATCTCCTTTTTTATCCTATTGTGCCAGAGAAAATTAATTAAATTATTTTATATTCCCTCACTTATGAAACCTTTAAATAATACTTGGATATTTCAATTAAGACTTCACAATATGTGGAATGTATAGCTTATTTAACTAGGAAAGAAAAAAAAAACCCACACCTTTTCCTATAACTTTCATATTATTTTACTTTAAAAGAATATTTTTTTCTAAAGTCACTGCAAAACAGAGGCAAGGGAAAAAGATGACTAAATGCAGTATCTTATGCATCGAAAAACCACCTTAAATAAATGTTAACTGTTTAGAACATCTCAAAGATGAAACAGGAGTGATCTCAACATCTACACACAGAATCTCAATCTGGGGCAAACTTCAATGTGTGTGTTTGACAAAATATAATTGTATAATTTATAATTAACTTTACTGATGCATTCAGAAATTCAAAATCACATTTCAGGAATGAAGTGGATGAATGCATTGGTTTAGTGATTCCTGCAGATGGTGCTATGAACATCACAGTAGAAATTGGGAGTTCTGCTTACTCTGAAAAAAAAATGCTATACTGTCTGTTTTGCCTCACATTTCCTTGATAGTGACAGATTTTCTCCTAACTGCAGTGAAATTAATAGCAAAACTGTAATTAACACCAGAGCTAGAATGAATTCAGCATACCTACTCAAAATGTCGGTTTGTTATGTTTCAAAGTTACCGAAAATAGGTTTTAATCAAAATTGGCAAGACGTGTGCCACACACAAATGATTAGCCTAATTTTCTGTTATAAGCCAAGAAAAAACAGAGAACAATCTCTAGAACTCTACAAATGGTTAAATTGTGTTGAGTGCCGCATTGTAAACTACAGTGTGGATAAGGTGAACAAAAGCAGTGACATTAAACCTTGCCAGCACACCTCTGCAGTGCCCTGACTGTTCTAAGTGTTGAAAAGTAAAATAAATTCACTACCATATTTTCATTATTTGCATCTTCTGTTTAAAGTGGTTTGCTGTTGTCCTGGTATTATGAATTGAAAAGCAATACTTATTTCTAATATCCCTTCTTTGTATTGTTGAAACAAAGTATTTCATTAATACAGGCCCTTTCACACACAGAGAGCTATCAGGAGTGTATAAATAATCCAGAAGGAGATCAGCTGAAATAGTTGAAAGCTTACATTATACTCTGATGCTTTTGTTTAAATTGATTTTCTAAGTAATATATGCTTTCAAATACTTAGCACATCACTTATGGTTTTCAAATTCAGGAGAATATCTTGTCTTGAGAGCTGATTATCCCAGTATTGCAGAGTTATGTCAACTTGCTTATACAGAGTAATGTAATCTGGATATAGTGAAACATCTTTACTACACAAAATATTTGTTAACAAGATGATGCTGTTAGAAAACGATTCACATTCATGGTTCAAATGTTGTCTTATGGAACTTAGTCACAGATCACATGTGTGCCAGCATGATACAGTTCTAAAGGTTAACCAGCAGAAGGTCCTTTCTGTAGAAAACCACTATTTGTATCATATATTAATCATGTTTCCTCTCTCCCTCCAAATTTCAGAAATTTAATGATTTACCAAAATTAGATTGCAATGAAAACTAATAGATGAAAAAGACATACATTAATCTCTTTGGAATCATCTTCATCTATCCTACTGGGCTTCATTTTAGTGTAGTCCACTGGCAAGTCCCAGCAGTCACCCTCATTCAGTTGGTAACACCGGTTATTCATCACAGCTTGCCGTTGTGGGGACATTGGTTCCAGCGGTGTCAAAATGGTACAGCAACCATCTCGCTGCCTCTGCTTGTTCATGCTCAGATCCAGAGTCCCATTTTCATCGACTTCCATGTCAGGATTCTGTCAAAATAAGAAAAAATATAGTTAATTCGGCTTCACATTAGCAAACTGTTACCTCTCTGTGTTCTTCAATCTGATTGCCTAGCAGAATGATAAAATGCTTTTCCATTCCTGTATGGATTGTAAGCATTGAGCCCCCTCCCACACATAGCATGATGCTGTTACACAACATTAATGCTGTTAAAGTAGATTCCTTCCTGAATGTCTAATCTGATGTTTGGGGGAAAAGAGGAGAGTCTTTATTACCCCTCCTGCCACCCAGCACACAGGTGCAAAATTTGGAATGAAAAGGAGAAATCTCTACAGGTATTTTCTTGCTATTGTCTTTATGTTCTTGATTTATTCTGTGACTGGTGAGTACCTATGAGTTAACATCTGCATAACTCTTTTTTCCAGTCCTGACACCTGTCTGGGTGATTAGGGTAACAAAAACCAGCTAGTATCAAATAATCTTTGTTTCTTTTTTTATTTAACATTAACCTCCAATGCAGGAATAGATAATGTCAGAAAATTAAACAGGGAGGTAGGGTAGCAAAACAAGTCCTTTTCAGCACCATTTGCCAATGAGGAAATACACTGAAATTTCACAGTTCCTTCCCTGCTGATATGAATGTATTAGCATTTCATATATCTATAATCAATAAACTTAAGTAGTGGAATAGTTGCAACAATAGTTGTGCCGATTTCTGTGGCGGCTGAAGTACAGTGAAAAATAGGATGGGTATGGGCTCTAACTACTTTTATAGAAAAAAACAAGGCTTGTCTATTATGTTAGGTGAGGAGAAATAAGATATCTTAAAATAAAGACAAATTTTAAAAAATTAAAGACATAAGAAAATAAAAATGCCCACAAAGAATCCCTATTCTTTTCAAATATGAATTGCTCCATAAGAAATTTGGTTTCAAAACTAATGTGGATGTGACTGACTCCTCATATGTCTGATGACTTTCTCTCCTCTTGAGTAACAACAGAGCTGCAGAAAAGCACTGTGAATGCAAATCTCTCTTTCTGAATGACTGCCTTTTGTCAGAGCATCCATCTAATTGCTGCTATCCTGCTAATTTAATTTAGAAAATACTTGTTTGTCTTCTCAGATTCATTCCTTCAGTCTCAATATAGGGTGATACATTGGGAAAAAAGATCCTTCTGGTTTTGACACAGAAGATTTTTAGCATTTTATTACAACTTTTTCCATCGTGTTGATAGAGTACAGCTGTATTTCTTTACATGCCAGAAGGAGATTTCCCCCTTGAACAGTATTAAATAAATTAATGTAAAAAAAGCAGCATTTGAAAAAAAAGTCCCCAGCCATTCTGGCTTAAATTATGTTTATTACTAATACACATTGCTAAAGGTTTAGTTTGTTATATGAAAGATCAAGGGGCTTTACACGATGAGGAGAAGAAAACCTTTGTCTATATGTAGAACAACAGAACATGTCTGCCAGCTCAAAAGCTCTTCTATAAGTACAATAAAAATGTTTCCTCTGCACTGCATCTGTCTACTTAGCCATCTAGTGGTCTCCTATAGGTAGCACAGTTTGCTGATGCATGTTAAATACCAATTTTTTAACAGCTATCAAAGTAGAAAATGTTTATAATGAAACAAAAATCTTTGAGTAATTCTTTAATGAATGTTAATAGTGCACTGTTTTTCTTAATGTATAAATCTTAACAACAAAAGCTTTTATTTGTATCTGTATAGCCATTTCATAACATACTGAGGCTCTATGAACATACAGAAAATTAGTGACCTGGCACTACTGTTAAACCCATTTAAAGTCACCTGTACTGGAGAATTTGTTCATTTCAAATGTATTATGCAGTGACTGTGGTATCACAGACAGGCAAGAATTTATAACATACACGTAGCAGAGATTTCTTTGTTCTAGATCTTACAACCTTAGATGCCACTTGTGACTTTTAAATGAAAATACATTGTTAAATCTTAATCCTTTCACAAAACGTATGAATCAGACTGTGTTTAGCAAAAAAAATCAGTAGTGCAATCAATACCACCTAAGCAATCCAAACATCTTTTATAATTATAGAACTCACCAGTAAGAGACAAATTTAAAAAAAAAAGAAGTATAAGCTATCACTATGACCAGTTTATATACCAATTGGGATTTCCTGAGATACTTGTGAACAATTTTTTTTTTCTCCCTGCTTTAACAGAGCCACCAGATTATGTTAATTTTGAGGAAACAAACAAACAAACAAAAAAGCAAGATGTACTAAAGCTATTCTTCTATCTATCAGGGCCACAAAGCTAGCGCAGTAAAGAGAAATCTTCATCAACAAACAGAATTACTAATTTTTACCCTCGCACAGAGATCCTGAGGCTTAGTGGAGAGGTTCTGAGGCATCTCCCTGCAGCGAGTGGAGAGATTCAGAATAGCAGTAGCAGCCATGTGTGCTGCCTCCATGTCATGAGTATAGTCAAAGCTGCTCTTGCTGCAGGTACTGCTGGCACTGCTGCCTCCACCACAACTCATATTGCTGCTGCTGCTAGGGGCATAACTGCTTGTTGTGCTGCTGGTTGGACTTGAATTCTTACAGTAGCGTTTAGCTGTGGGAAGAAATATGACAAGGATGACTCAAAGGAACAAGCATTCTGCATGAGTGAAGAGAAAAACAAACTGCTGGAGGTGAAATTTATAATGAGCAACAGTAACCAATGCAAAAAAAAAAAAAAAAAAAAAAGCCTGCAATAAGAATGATGGCTGTATTTCTTGATTTCTGTCTGTGACTTTTATATGCTACATATGTGAGTTTGTATGAAAGAACCTCCTGTAAAGATCTGTATGATGTGATCATGAATCGTTCTGACAAACATACTGGATTTAGAAAACAATAAAAACACAGAAACACTGCTTTTACCCCCACATATATAGTCAGACAGAAGGGAAGAACTGCTCAGCTCATTTGTTTTGATTAATGAGAGGGAACATAACACTATGGGACCTTTTCATACTTACACGAGCAAACTGTTAATTTAAGGCCTAGACTGCCCAGAGCTGCTGGAGATCGGGCCCACTCTAAGGGTGACAGGCTTAGTCCCTGGGCCGCACTGCTACCCATATGTCCTCAAACACCTCACGCCTCCTAAAAGGTTTACTCTTCCTGCATCGGGGGTAAAATATTGTGACCCGAGCCATCAAAAAGGAATGGAATATGATGGAAGAAGAAAGGTGGTGGTTACATGTGGGTTTACCATGGCTCGCACAAAGGCAGAAGCAGTGGATGTCTAAATGGGAACAGATACAAGTGAAACGGCCCCACCTTCAAACAACCCAAGCACCTACAACTCTTCAGAAAAACAATAAAGACCAAAGACACCCCTTCTGCTCACGCTGAGGACAGCGGCACTCAGACATACCCTGGCCAACAGAAGAGGTCACAGAAAAGCTAAGGCACTGACAAAGCCCACATGCAGCCTATCTAAATATCATGAACGCAGCACTGCTGCTGCTTGTCAGAAATGCTCCTTGCAGCCAAAAGCATTATAGTAATAATGCAAAACAGCCCTCTTAGCCCACTTACGTCTCCAACCCTCTTCCCAAATAAATTGTTTTTAAAGTGTTTATATAAAATGCAAGAAAGTGGCATCTCATCTTCTAAATCCAAAACTTCATGTATTTTAATTAAAAAATGAAAGTCAAGATCAGAGGATACATACATGCATCTTAGAGCACCTATTTCCCCTAAAGATGGAAATGTACACCACAGACCTCATACCATATAGCACAGTATCACAATAACCAACTAGCATGCTGATTAGAGAGCTATACAAAAAAGGTCAGGCCCTAGCTAGAGCTCTTCCATGATGTGCTCCATTTAAATGCCGGATTCTTCAGGTGTATTTGTCTGAGCAGACACACATATAATAATCTGCTCCCATGAGCACAGCCCATTTGTGAACCACAGGCTGCTAATAGTAGGCATGCAAGGTTCGAAAGAAGAATCTGAAAGCAAAATATCTTTCCTAGAGCTTATGTCATCCTCCTTTCTCTGAAAAACTGAAAAAAATAATGGTGTTATTTTTACGGTAAAGGAAATAGTGTTTTACTCAATTCATAACAGATGGAGTTCTCTCAGGAAAGCCACATAATGCACAGGGTGTGATTTTTTTTTAAGTGAAGTGAATGCTAAACATTCATCACATTTCTTTGTTTTGAACACATAGTAACACTATTCTAGCAGTGTATCCACTAACAATAAACCTGTGAACTATTTCTCAAGAGTTTCATTATTAATATAGTAGTCAGCCGTGGTCATTAAAAATTCAACTTTTATCCATTGTTACTTTGTAACAGCATCCAAGACATACACGAATTTTCCTATACCTAAGAAAGGAAATAATTGAATAATTCAGTTTCTACTGTGTTAACACAGCAAGCACCCTGTACCATTGAACTTGTCAAATTATAAAGATATTTCAGAATTCATATGAACAAATAAGACTTCTGTCACTTGCAAAGAATGTTAGTCTTGTTATAGCAGGTCACAATTAGACAGACACAAGAGACATACTACATGGGAAATTATTATATGAGAATGTATACCAAAGAAAGAGACGGAAAGAGGCAGCTTTATACATAGGGCTAACCGTCAGAAACTCATGCAAGCTCTGATATGCACTCCTCTGTGGCCTTGGTCAAACTATATCATCCCTCAAATTCATTTTCGCTATAAATAAAAAGTTGCTTCTAAAATGCAGTTGTGTTGTGATTTACTCGCAAAACACTTTGAAGATGTAAAGTGCTATAAGCATGCTATGCAATTGTTAGCTTTTAGATTACCAACAATTTAAGCAAAATTCACCTAGAGAGAAATGGCCGTGGTTATTTTCACTTTACCATAGCTGTACATTTTAAGATGAGCCACATAACCCAGACTGTTAATTTCACATTAGCTTTTCAGGAGAAACAAAGATCACCAATTTATAACGAACTAAATCAAGTCAATCCCTAACAAAGGGAAAGCTGCATTGTTTCAATACCAGATATGGTATGCTTGCGACATCACCCAATGCTGTGGCACCAGTTTTTGGAAGCTCTGCAGTCCACCTACACTCATGATCCAGAGTGAAGCTACATATGGAGAAAACCTTTCTCATTAAATAACAGATCCGGCTCTAACCAGCTGCATACCCAAACTGGCCTCCCGTCAGACATGCCTAGGGGCTGATTACAAAGAACCTCTCTAAGCCCACAGGCTCCTCTTGCTAATTAATAACGGAGGAGTGGGAGAGATCCCAACAACATAAAGGACCAACTAAGAGATTTGCAGTGGACTTAAATTCTGCCCAGGCACCCTCATCCCCAGTTTTCCCTAGACACTGAATGTGTTATGTAAATTACTTACAGTTTCAACACTTTTTCTGACTTGCACAATGAGAGATTCATCTCACCTAACTTCAGATATCTGACCTAGTCATTACAGGCTTCCTCTACAGGCAGTGAAAAAAAATAGTGACTTTCAGGCAATGATTCACCTGACCAGTTTTAAAGAAGTACTTCAGGAGGAGTTGAATTGCATCAGAGAAGTGTCTTTCTCCTTGGATCTGAAAGGGGTGATGAGCCCAGATGTAGGTACTGATATTATAAAAGTCTAGATACGGTCAGATGAATCCCACTTCTAACATTTTCTCAGTGTTTTGATGGAAGGACCCTGTACTATCGGTGGAATGAGAGGAGCTCCTGCCGTCACCTGAGCAACTGACATAGAGTTGCTGTCTCCTCTGCCTGCTGTGTCCAGCTGTTCTTATCTCTCTTGCTGTATGCCATAAGCTCAACATCCAATATGCTATGAAACTGGTTTCAAAGGAGAAACAAGCCCACAAACACAAGATTTCTCAAGAATTATCAGAGGACCCTACCCCACAATAAAAATTATCCACTTTCTGTTTGGTTTTTACTAAAGCTTACTGAAAAAAATAATCAAGAGAACAATCCAAAGGAGCTATTTATGTTCATGTCACTCACAACCATACACTTATTGAACATATAATCCTTTTTTGTGATGTTGAAATACAGTGCTAGCTTACAATTAAAAAATGATTGAGACATTAAGTTATTGATTTTTAAGATCCTTGGACTATTCGTCTCATCTCATACAGTCAGAAAAAACAAAGCACTGTTTACTTGCATGTTTCCCCAAAACCTTGAGCTTCCTTTCAGCTTTTTCAGAACTAAATCTGCTTTTATATAAATGTGTTTGCAGATATATATAATAGGTGTGCACTCAGTCCCTCCATAATGGCTTTAGTAGTGCTAATTAATAATTTCTTTTACATACAAATATAAAATCACCTAGAAATACTGCAAAGTTTCCTGAGAAAAAGTGGCTCTTTGAAATGAAGAGCCTCTTCCTGAAATCTCCTCCGTGTTCAGTTATTTACAATAATTATCAGGACAACACTTGACCCATTCAAAGTCAGTGCCAAAACTTCGACCAGTTTCAGTGTGCCCAGGATTTCACTTCATCATTCTATGAATTTAGCTGATTTTCCTGAGAACTGCGAAACCCTTTGACAATTTAAGCCAAATATGATGGAGTGGTTGTGGAATATCAGAGAGATGTGAATCCTAAAGGTTTAATGAAAATCACTGATAGGGTACAAATTAGGTCCCATCTTTGGGACCATGTTGGCATATCTGTCTGGTCAAACAGCAGAAACATCATGTGGAACCAGGTACAGCACGTACCACCTCCTGCAGAGCCAGCAGTATGGAACAAATCCATAGGGAATTAGCAAACAACCTGTTCCAGCTATAATGGGCTTCAGCTGCCCTGAGTACACAAGAACCATGTATACTTGCTGTACCAGCGTGAATCACATATATTCAGTGTCCCTCAGTCCTCTCCAGCTCAGATTTCTGAGCAGTGAAACAACGTAGTCCAAATCGTATATCCAAGCAAAATTCCTATTTGTATCACAGGAAGTTGAGTGTACATAATGACAGTGACCTGTATCACCCTAGCTTTTAATTATATCAAGCCACTGTTAAAATTTTGTTTAATGTTACGTGTATTTTCAAGTTCTGGTGAGTTGTGAAAAAAAAAGGTGTTTAAAATTATTTGTGGAAAAGGGGTCTTCGATGAGAAAAAAATATATCTGTTGCTTAAACATCAGTAATTTGACCTGAAAATATGCATACCCATAGGATCCCTAGAAATACTCTGATTCTTTCCTTTCTTCAAGAGTAGGAAGAGCGTATACATAACAGTTACTATCTCATTTACCTTATATTATACACTCACCAGCTTATTAATCACAGGTAGAGTTAGTGTATTACCTTTAATAAATGTTCAAGCACTTATTCTGATACAGGCAAACAAGACAAGTGTATGAAAGAAAAAAGGGCACTTTTACTCAAAAATATGTTGCCTATGTTGCCTTTCACAACCTGTCTCTTTTCTGCTACAGTGCAAGAACATGTCTCTTGATTCTATGAGAAAGCAAAATATCAAAAATATCAGAAATATGAAGGCAGGAGCTGTAGCATTTTTCCCTTTCTCCACTTACCTACTTTTGAATGTCAGAGTCTGTGTTCAGGCAACAGCATAAATTTTTTCTATATGGTATATTTATTTCTGTTTTCCTAAACAAAAATCTGACACCTGTCTGAAATTTCCTATGGTAGCCAATAAGTAGTATAACATATTTTAACCAAAAAATAAACTGTCAGCATTCAAATAAAGAAAAAGGAGAGGAGAGGAGAGGAGAGAGGAGAAAAGGAGAAAATGTAAAGGTACAGTTTTGTTTTATATATATATATATACACACACACATATAATATATATACACACATATAATTGTATTGCTCTGAAAAATTCCTGATGTCCTCAAAAGCTACAATCCAAATCCTGCGGTTCATTATTCTCCCCTAATAAAAATCTTCCTGCCTGACAGACCCCACCCATTGTCTTCTGCTGAACTGAAGCCACTTTTGGCCTACTCCTAAACGTGTGAAATTATGTTAGGTTTTCCAGATAATTCAACAGGTGTACTCATGAGGACAAAACGAGTAGAAAAGCCTCATTAAGTAAGTATCAGTGATTTCTGAAGTGCAGTGAGATCCAGATTTTCTCTTTCCATATCCCCACAGAGCAAGTATGTTATCTTTATGAGTTACCTGAACTACTACCGTACAGAGGCAAGAATCCTAATGTGACCCTTGAGGCCAGGTCTCCCAGACAGCAACACATTGCACTGCTCCCACACCACAACAACTAGCCCTATTACTTAGCTTTTATTGAAATCTCAACACAGCCCAGGAGCTTAATAGCTGGAGATGTTCTCTTGCCAGTAAAACAATCCTGAAGCAAGCACGGTATAAAACAAGGCTTTTTAAAAATGCCTTTAAAATAACTTACACATGACAGCATTCCTCGTAATACTATATGAACATGAAAACACCTTATTTGTATGATGTTTACATATACAACAACATGATTAACTACAAACTTGTCTCTCATGTATAAGAGTGTGCACCTCCTACCATCATATCCTTTGGGGGATATATCCCTGGATTGCACCTTGGGAGCTATGGCTCTCTTGCCATAGGCATGGTTGTCATAACTGTTATATTCAAACGTAGTCTTAGAGTATTTCTCTAGTTCCTTGGCCAAGTTGGAGCGGGGTGTGGTGGTGGGGACATTGTTTCTGTAGCCATACTGAGGGATCTCCAATTGCTTAACAAAGCACATGGGCCTAGAAATTAAAGATATGTAAAGTTTGTTAGATGCAGTTCAGTTTACTGTGTCTGTGCATAATTTATAGTTCAGATTAGAAAATCTTTGTTATTTCTTGTACTCAAGAGACAGCAATATATTATTGCATTTCCTTAGTTTGGTTATTTTCAGCAGACAAACAATATATATTTTCTTGAACAAAGCCTAGACAAAATTAATTTTAATAACACTAAATGTATCCTGTAGATAAAAGTATTTTAAAATTCTCTTTTAAAATACTTCTGGGTTTCCCCTTCCCCATGTAATTGCCTCACATAGCAAACATTTACTCATTTAGGAGGTGACTAAAGAGGGACAAGCTGACTGACAGAAGAAGTTTGGACAAATTCCTTTAAATGTCAAGAATAAAAAATAGCACTGGAAGCTCCACTCAATTAATGGAGTTTCCTCTGAGTTTCTTTCAACAGATTTGTATGCTGTTTTCCTGTATGCTTTCCAAAGGAGCTGGTCCTGTTCCATCCCTCAATATACAAATCCATGTTCATCTTGAGAAATACACAGGTGACTCTCACAATCTCTGTTGACTTTGAGCTGCTGCCTCACAGGTCCTGCTCACCCTTAAATGCAAGGTTCTGGCAGGAGCTGCAATTCCTGATACACAGATACACACCTCAAGGAAGGTCCTGTGAACAAATAAAGTATAAAACTGTATCAGATAAATTTCTCTTTTGATTAGAATCAGAGAGGATAGTCAGGAGAAGACCTGACTGATCTCCTTTGGCCATTGGAGAAACTTATGAAATCTCAGTGAAAGAATGCTGTAGTGAACTCCTCTACTGTCACACTGTCTTTTGCATGTGGACACAGAAGTCATCAGCTCTCAAAGCAGGTAAATGAAGGTCAGACATCAAAAACCTTACCTATATAAGAAATTGTTATGTGACTGGGTCATAGGGAGCAACTGTTACACAATGCTGCATGTCTACCTACTGCACTTAGCAGCAGGTAAAGATGATGATGAACAGCACACATGAGGTGCTTCTGCTGGAATCAAGAATCATATAATCAAGTCTTTTTTCTTTTTATTTTTCTTTTTTTTTCTTTACTGTATTTATAACCAGAGGAAATGGAAGGAACATTCATAGGAACATAAATTTAGTCAAGACCAGAAGTATCATCGTGCTGACTGACAAATACAGAATGTGATAAATAGTAAGAAATAGGTTTGAATATTATGTTTTTCTGAATGAATTAATTTTCATAGACTTTAGTCAGGATATTTATGCAAAGATCACCCAAGAAATCATATTAGTCACACTATTCCCTTTGATTTATGTACGCTTGTTCCTTTCAACACTGCTTCCTCACAAAATACAGTGGGCTCATTTATACAATGAGCTGATATGAATATTTTGATCCTGTCTCAAGATAATCTATCTTTAGCTAAAAAAAATGCAATTCAGATCCTGTACATTCAATGCAAATCCAAAATTTCAGTGAACAGGAGTTGTATGAATTTTATTTCCTTTTAAGAAAGAAATTTTAAATGCAGGTGGGATGGAAACTGAGATGAAGACAAATATTCAAGATTTACTCTTAGAACATCTCTGTCTGCGCAGCAGCTGCCCGCATGCAAATGTTATAAATAGCTCCTAAGTTGTTCTTAAATACTTCAATGACTTAAAGGTAAGAGGGAAGCAGGATACGAGATGAAAACATTATTTGAGTTGTCTACACAATCTGAAACACAGGGTAGGCTCACAAGCAAAGTTAAGACTGCAGCGCAACTTCCCTGGGAGTTTGCCAGCAAACTGGATGCTGCTTTTGACCAGTTGTCTTTTTTTGTATGGAATCTGACTTCAGTGGATTCCCTCTAATGAGCAGTGGTAAAAGCCACTGCATTTTTGATCTTTTTCCATCAAGAGAGAAAATGTGTTATTCCCTCAAAGGGTGTTTTTTATTAATAGGATTTGAAGAACACTTCTCTAAGAAAACTGTCTGAGATGCTGTATGAAAAATTGTACAATCCAAATTAGGGGCAGTCAAGATAAAGCCCATCAAAAACAATTTGAGGAAGCAAAACAAAGTCAACAGGCATAACAAAAAATCTTCTGTAGATGTGATACATAATTCTGTGTTTTTAGCTCTATGGAAAGACTGATTTTCGAAAAGACCATAAAGATTACACGAAGTTTTAAGAGACCATTCAAAGAATGATGTTGATAATACAGTAGAAACCTTTCATTTTAAGCAGCCGTATCAGATTTTAAAACTAAAAGACAGCTAATACTAAGAAACCTATGGGATATGTAGGAAATTCTGGGAACTAAAGCTGTGGCACTTCTTCCACGCTCTTCGAGGCAGCTGGGAGGGATGTACCTATCTCAGCCCACAGATATCGCAGTATCCATGGAGAAATTCTGCAGCTCTTGGGGCATCATCAGCATAAGGCTGGTACAATCGTGTAGAAGTCTAGTTCCTTTACATGTATCCTTCACACTTCAGCTCCTTAGAAAGAATACTTTTTCCACCCAGATATCTCAAAAGAAGAGACAACAGCACAAAGCTGGGGACAGGTTTGGAGAAAACAGAATCCTAAATGGATGAAGATAAGGGGTATAATTATGTCAAATTGGTTCAAGGTCCTTCCCATATTAAAATTCAGGACAAATTTTCTTTCTTTCCATCCTTCCTGGTAATGAGTGGGGAAGAGAGACAAGGAACTAAGCCTGACTTTATTTTGGAACCTAAGCTATACCTGGTGTTTTTCCAGGTGTCCTGACAAAAGGTGTACTACCAGTTCGGTATTATAAATAGGGCTTCTGGTTTAATTTAAACTGATATTTACTAGTAAAAGCCTGCTGAAAAAACCAAGACTTACCGGTAAATATTAGTTTATTCCCAAAAGATACCAACTTTTTTCACATTGTTCTTAGACTTTGCACTCCAGCAGTCATCTTTACACCAAACAATGCCTAAGACAAAAATGAGCTTTTCAGCTTTACATGTATTTGCCAAAATAATTACCAGCCCTCCCCCATGTAAATTGAGTGGGAAATACACACTGTGAGAATTGGATCCAGAAGCCCTAATTCTAACTCTTCTTTAAAGGAGATATATATGTATATACAAGGTATGTAAATTCTCAGATTAGGTGAATGTGTGATGAATTCTGCATAATAATAAGTATTATAGTGATCTAATACCTTAAAACCCGATCTGATGCCTGGTTTGATTTTGACACATCACAGTTCTGATGCTTCTCTTGAGCTTTAGCCAGTTTCTCTGCTGCAGCAATAGGACATCCAGAGAGGCTGCAATTACAGAAAGGAAATTTAATTGTCTTGTCCTGCGTAGTTTCACATTATAGCACTGATCCAATTACTCCTTCTCCTCCTTAGCCAGCATCAGGAAGAATCTGAAGGAAAAGAGTTTCCAAAAGCTGTTTGGTAATATGTATTTTTTCTAGAATAGACTTCCTTTCTTCTGCTTTCAAAGTTGCATGGTAGATCTTACATCTGCTCTTCTTCTCTGACTGTACATGGGTAGATTATTCATGAATGTTGCCAATGAACACACCAGTAGGAGAGGAGAATATAAACTGGAATCTACTGTGCAGCTCTGTTAGCAGACTTGTGACCTTTATGCATCTACGAATGTTGCCAATGAAATGGCTCCTGAAGATGATTAAATGACAATACCATATAGGCCAAATCTTGCACTGCTTCACACTCATTCAGCTCCATTAACTCCAATCTTTTTGCAGGGCAAAGAAATGAGTGCAAAATTTGGCCTTGGATCTCTAAGTCTACGTCTCAACTGTGTTATACTTAGTGTTTGTTCATTAATTTCAGCCACTAAAGTATGTTTTCTAATAGTAGATGATGAAACATGAAAAGAACTTCTGCACTTGAAGTTCAAATAAATTTGCAAATGCTGAACTATTATTGAAGTGATAATAATAAACCTGATTCTTCTGGAAAAGATTTAGACCAGGGAAAAACAAATATGTTGATGCCAGCAGATGGTGCTCTTAGTGAAGCTGTAAAATCCTGTGACCTAACAATGGAGGGGGTCCTTTCCTTGTCATAGTCTATTGCGTGCTTATGTGACCACAACTCTATGTGTTCTCCGCAGGAAAAGAAATTAAAATTAAAGGCAAATTAGTGCATTCCCAGATGTTCCCTTCTCTACAGGAAATAAGGGGAAAAAGAAGAATAAAAAAATAAGTGAAGCAGAGCAAAATGCCCCAAAAGCTGCAGAAAGAGGTGAGCACAGACTGCAGGCTGCTCCCCCCAGCCCTCCCTTGCTGCCCTAGTTCTGCAGAGGGGTGAGGGAGCTCTGTGCAGTTTTGGAGTCATGCCAGAGGACAGCTGTGCTCCAGACATGCTCTTCAGACACCTCAAATATTCTAGTAGATATTCAGCCAGAACTGAATGCTGTTTCTAGCTGCAGTAATTGCCATAAAGCCTTCTCAGAGGTTTTTGCTGCATCTACTGGCAGCATCACTGCAGAGAAGAAAGGGGTACCAGAGCTTATTGCAGATGGGTTGGTACCCACAAGAGACTTCCAGGAGACATGCAGTTAATATGAGGGGCTCTAGTAACCCAGAGTTTGCTAAAACTGAACATCCAGTACCTGTGTAGTCCCTTAAGCCTTCATGCTACAATTAACAGTAAAAACTAGAATTTGATAATGGAAACCTTGCATAGTTCCTTTCACCCTCTTACCCACATTTTCTGGATTTTTTAAAATTGTAAAGAAATAAGGAAGATCTTATTGTTCTGTGGGGAAATTATGACATGCACTAAAAATTATAGTACCATTTTGACAATTTTGTTATTTGTTTGACAAAAATTAATAGGCAATGGCATCCCTTCTGTAAGAATCTATTACTAATATTAGAAAACTATAGAAATGTTGCTTTTTTCCTTGATCTTCTTTCATTTGGCTAGAATATTTGCATCTAACATTTCTGGCTTCTTATTTTTAAATTTAATGAGACATTTTCATAATGTTTCTTAAACAGGCAAAATTCTCATTCAGTTTTAGCTGAATAAGGACTTTGGAGTTGCAACTGTGGTCAGTAGGAAAGCTAACTTTTACAATGTCTGTGTACTTAAAATGCTGTTTCTCATGTATTAAAAAATAATTTTCAGTAGAGTGGATTTTTTCATGCGCTATAAAATAAACCCTGAAGAGCGAAGTGTGAGAACAAGAACACTGCCCTAGTCCTGCTGATGATGGCAGACCCTTCCTTCTCCCTGCGACATACCCATAAGGAGTCATACCATTCATTTTGTACCACTGTTGTTCAGCTAATATCAAAACAAAAAGAAAAAAAATCCGCCCAAAATCTAAAGGATGCTTAAAATGTCTTCTGTGAATCAATTCATCCATACTGAAGCAAACACATACTCGCCCTCCTCAGAAAATACATGAATAAATGTTACTCTTTAAAATGGATAAAGCACACGAAGCACCATCTGTCAATCTCAAGAACAAAACAACGACACACACACACTCACACCTCCCCCGCCAATGGACTGCTAGAAGGGCTGCGGTTCGGAGGCACTGTTCCCTCTAGATTGGCATCCAGCGACGGCATCCTTACCTTCGGTGGGAATTCCTGTTGCTATTTACGTGGCCCCGGCCTGTGCAGCCTGGTGTAGGACACTTAAGAACATTTTCATGCATGGCAAGAACTTGACAAGGAGAGTAAGAGAAAACAGCAGAGTATGAAAACAAGAAAAAAAAAATCAAATCCCAGTATATATGAAACCATTTTAAAACAAAGTAGGATTCTTTAACAACCAGCATTCCTCAAAATACACATGACACACATAGCCAATAAAGCCTGATGAGGGAAGTAAGTATCGTGACCCTATGCTCATTAACACAGGGCAACAGTGAAAGTTATGAAGGTTACAGAGCCTATAAACAAACGCAACTCTGGTGCAACAGTGAAGCAGAAGACTTCCAACATCTTCTTCATACAAAAACACTGAGTAAAGATCAGCTCAACAATAATGTGTGAGCTAGCAAAGGTCCAATACAAAATTATAGACTAGAAAAATTCTTTCAGAAAACGTATGCATTCAGAATGCATAGCTTAATGCACACAGTATCAAACTCAAGAGCTGAAAATCTGCTCTCAAGCTATACTGGTAGAACACTGAATTATTTGAAACACACCTCAGTACAACCCTAAACGGAATTTAACCCTAACTATAAGACAGCCCAGTTGAGCTAGGGGCCAGTTCTGCCCACTTCCACATAGATATATCATCCATATCTATATGATGAGCAGAAATGGACCTTTAATTTCCACTCGTATTCTCTACAGATGTGAAAACTGCAATGAATAGAATTTTTTTTCAAAAGACTAAAAACTAAAAATAAGCACTTAAAAATTTGAGGGATGGCAGAAAAAAAAAAAGAAAACAGTGTAAAAAAGAAATAACTAGTACAAGCTTAAGCAAGTAAACTGATTTACATCTGCATCCACTGCAAGCTGGATGAAAAACTTACTCCCAAGGCTGCTCAAAGCAGTACTCCTCTAAATCATAAAGCTCATGCTATGAAATGCCAAATTATCAGGAACTTTTTGGTAACATCAAAGCATTTTGTATGATGTGAGACATATCTGAATCCATGTCTCAGAGCTGGATAGCAGTACACTCTATGGAAAAAGCTCATCCAACCCTTGCAAAGTTCTGGTTTTCGTATACAAGAACTAGTCTGGAAGCCTGTATTTAGTTCTCACTCAAAAAAAAAAGATCTAATAAAATCAGTGAATTCCTTGACTGAGTTAAGAACTGAATAAAAGCTGTTCAGAGACTTGAGAATTTAATGACATATAATGATTAAAAGATAACCATCATCATCACCCCATCATCAGTGTACTAAAACATGTATAGATGCAAAAGCTTTACTCTGAAATTCCTACCATTCAAAGCTGTTCTTGAAACATGCTTCACAAGGCCAACATCACAGGAAAAAAATAAAAAGATGAGCTCACCTTTTTCATTTTAGTAGGTACAAGAGCATGCAAACAGTTTAAAGCTATATTCTTCTTTGATTTACAAAGTCTTCTAAAGAGCTTTCTGTTTACCATTTGTAAAAATGAGAGAACTTTGAGCAACCGAATAAATATTTGTGTTTCAGAAAATTATAGGGTCTTGCAGAGCAGAGAAATTACTCTATTTGTTCTACTGAATTCAGAGATCAACCAAGTTACAGCAGTTTCCTAAAGCGCTTCCTCATTACTTTACTTCTGGAAGAAGACTCTCTACCATGAAAGAGGAGACTTTTTATGTCTGCCAGTCTTGGTGTGCTAACCGACTTCTGGTTTCGTGTCCTTCAGAATCTACTTTCCTTTGGAAACTGGGGACCATTTTATCCCTGACTGTCTTTATAACGTTTCCTTTAGGCTGTTGTAAATCCATAGGTTTACAACATAGGTTGTATAGGTCCATAGGCTTCAATGGAATAACTTCACTTTAAAATTGGTGTGAAAGAGAACTGGATCTTAGACAGATGTTGCCTGGTGTAAATTGGCACAGAGCAATTAGCTTCAAGAGAACTATGCTGATTCCACCAGCCAAGGAAGTGGCTTCCAGAAACGGAGCCCTCTGCCTTTGGGTAAACATCCGTGAGCTCATATGGGTGAATCTCCTTTGCAGAGAATCTGCTGACATGGCAGGAGATTCCACCCATGTGACTGGCAGGGGATGTTAGCTCAAAATCCTGAGTTGTGTAACTAAGTAAACAGCCAAATTGCTATTTTTAATACTATAAAGCAGTTTAATGTAAATTACGTTTCAGACACAACAACAAAGGAAAGGGGTTGTAAGTTTTTCAAGTACAATTATTCCTGTACAAGACAACAGGGACAGTTGATGTGACATCAGCATGTAGAAGTAAAAGCAGTGCACATCTTCTGGAAACCTTTTTCTCTTTTGACTGAATACATCCCTTTAAAAAATAACCTAGGATTCTTAAAATCAAAGAATACAGCTTTAAAAGTTGTTCTTTTAGTGTAAAAGTTAGTAGAGAATGGAAATGATGGAATAAAGGAAAAAGTGTAACACAGAACAGTTGACCAAGTTGAGACAAACCATACTGAAAAATGAAATTAATTTTTTAAATAAAAGGTTTAAAAAGCATGCTAGAAAAATCTTTGTAGTTTTATCCCCAGTTTCCATGAAACAATGTGAACTTACTTTCTGGAGGGACCCTATCTTTGTGTGGGCATCCTGACAAACTGCGGTGATGGGGGTAAAGCCCCGTTACATGGCCAGTTCCATCACACCCAGGGGTAGGACATTTGCTCTCTTTCTTTTCTGTTCTTGAGGGATCTATAATTTACAACAAATGTGTCAAGTGAATGATGCTTTTCACATTTCTGTAAGAAGGTTCATTTAATCATGTCATTTACTCTTTGGTAAATGTTCTTATGAAAACTAGAAGAAAAAAAATCCTCTACTTCTTAACACAGTTCTGTCACTTTTATCCCATTATCTTCTTTTCAGACCACAAGCTCCTATGATCACAGCAATATCCATTCACAATGATTGGGAAGTGACCTTTTTATAGCAAAGCCTATCACTGTCAATCAATGTTCTGCTGGCAAGCATCAGCTCAAGGGTGTAAGGTCATTTGGAAAATGTTTAGTTGGAGTTTCCCTTCTTCACATTCTTATTTGTCTGATATATTAAGGTCTGCAAATGTACTGTCATTGAAGTTCAATGTCCTGAGAGCAGCAAACCCAGCTCTTTAGCATAGTGATTCAACGATTCAGCACAAAAACCCCCTTTTCCACGGCTCACTCAGGAAATTACTCTTATTTTCTTTAAATTCCTTACAAAGTGTAGAAGTAATGTAAATATTCCTTTAATGTAAATAAATTATGTAAAAATTCCTTTATCTTCCGTAAGTTATGGTGGGGTAAATATTGTAATCAGAATTACTGAAAGCATCACTGGCTGTGTAAATTTTGGCCATTACAAACATGCATATATAATGTTCAAATATTAATATGATTAAAGGGTTAATGATCTTTTAGAATGTTGGTGGATCTTCTGTCTACAAACCAATTAAAAGTCTAAATAGACACTTTTTCAACAAAACAAAGTTTTCTGACAATAATGTAGCGGAACTGCTAGATTAATGTTGAACTTTCTCACATACTTCGTCAGTTTATTTCTTTTAACAGGACATCTGTAAAAGAATATCCCTACCCTCCCAGCCCAAAACATGATGCAAATTACATCTTATCATCTTGACCACAGTTGCCAGATTTTGGAGACTATTGCTAATTTTCCTGTTAGTATTAAGGGTATAAAATTCAGGATACTCTAACTGCTACCATTCTGGCTCAATATCAAATAATGTCTCCCTTCCATTTTTTCAGTCCATCCTCCTTTCAGTACTTTGCTTCAGTACTTATGCTTTTGTCTCTGGAAAATAAGATTTTGATGCTTGTTTTCCCTTAAGTCTCTCTTACATTAAATTCCATCCCAGCTTCAACAAATGCAATCCTCACTACAATCAGTGGAAATTTCAGTACTTGCACAACCCATTTTTTTTTAGCATGAATCAATATAATCTAGAGTTCATGTTCAGTTGTGGATTTATTTTTCCATTATTTCCCTCTGGTAGCTTTTATAAATATATATATATATA